GTGTGTGTGTGTGTGTGAAGAAGGTTTAGGATTTAGGTTTCACAGTCTGACACTATTAAATTCCCCTTCAAATGTTACCCCCTCAAAGCTGTTGCTTACAGTGTGTTTTCTAAGAAAATAGTTAGGGGCTGCACTCTGCGCTTTAGCCCTTTTTTCATGTCAGCTATTCTAAAAGTTAATGAATCATACATTGCTCTCAGACACCACATCCAATTTAATCGTCTAGAATCAAAGTCTTTCTAGGACCCAGAACAGATTTGTTTAATTCAGACTGAGGACTCCGTTATACCCTTGGAAATATGCAGTCTTGTTATCCTGATTATGTATTCAATTGCATAAATAAACAATTTTGCACTAAAAAGATATTCACATATTTGGAGTTATAAATATTTATCCAGACATATTCCTGAGTCAAGGGGAAAAAAAGAAACCATAAGGAGCATAGAATATCAGCTTTCACATTCTTGGCAATTATTTTATAAGAAGTAGGTGAAAATTAAGCATCCACTCACTTCAGAGGGAGCGAGCTGAGCCTGTTGCCATTCCTCATGTGTTTCAAACACCACAGGAAGAAATGGGAAAACTCAAGCACTTCATGCTTTCTTCTCCAACCAAAATAGAACGATTTAAAGTCAAAGTTTTAACTCGACTAAATATTATTTCTGCACTTTCCCTCCTTTCATATCGGCCTAAAAATACCGAAAATGACTGGAGTTGAAGTTGTTAAATGAAAGGGAAAATTAATTTGAACCACAAATGTATAGTTGCTCAGCAGCACTGCAATGGCATCCAAACACAACCTCCTGCAAACAACAAGCGTTTCCACATATCTCATTTACCAACAATCAGGTAACAAACTGCAGCTGTGGCCGATAACTTCCAAATGTATACCACAATTACATCTGATTCAAATGTACAAGCGCTGATGGAAAACCAATTTAACTTCTGGAAAAGTTGATTTTGTGGAGTGTTTGAGGGACAGGACAGAAACTGATCCATCCCTGGAAAAACAGGTGGTGGACATTTGATGTGGTTGCGCATTAGGGTTTGTGTGTGTCCTGTTTATATCCTCATACACACTCACAGCTTGCATAGTCTTTTGTATATTAGGATGATTTTGGCAGTTTTTCTTTACTTGTTGGTTGATACTGAAGAAGGATGAGAAGGAGCCACATGACACGAAGCTTTGGAGCCAGATTCAACCCTCAGACCTTGCAATTATCCACCAACCGAACCACTACCCATTCACTTGTTTTATATGCTGCATTGTAATACCAGCACAGCCTGTGCGTGCTGCCCACTGCCTATTTCAACCTCAAACAGCGAGTCTACCTTGGTATGCAGGCCTCAAGCCTCCACCCCTGCCAGTGTAGCTTAACGCCAATATCCATCAGAGCCCACTCCATTCCCCGCTTTCATCATCTCTTTTATGTGCTCGCGCCTGCCGCACTGTTGCTGCCGCACTGTTGGCTTAATTAGGCCGCCGCTTTTCACGAGGGTCAAGCAGACAAACAAAGCAGCCGGGACGCAGAAGCAGATAGCAAGCAGATCAAATGTCTGTCCACCTCTCCTCTCCCTGTACAGCCTGACCCCTCTCCACACAGCCAGGAGGTGAAAGGTGCACTGAGGTCTGAGCTGCTCCCCTCCCCCTCCAACACACACACACACACACACACACACACACACACACACACATAGTCTCTCATCACTCGCATCTAATAGCTGCACATGGCCTATAGATTCATGTGAGTGTACAAATATAAGCTTGTTTTGTCTCTGATTCCAGAAACACACACATAAAGCTCCAGCTTAAACACTTTGACCTGTTTATTTGAGATTCCTCACTCTTCACCCCTGCATTACAAGATGCTGAGTAATCAAATAAAAATTCCCCAATTTTTTTTACTTTTTCTACATTTAATTCTGCCTGAGTTTGTACTTATGATTGGATGTTTCTAAAGATTTAAAGATTTTAAAGCTTTGTCAGCTCCTGCTAATACAAGAACATGGCCTACCTGTTGGAAGGGCATCCGGAGGGCGCCCATATTGACATAGGGTGCTACTCTGCATGCGTCGAGGTGACTGCCGCTGCCCAGAATAACACCTGGAGAGAACGGAAAGATGTCTGTCAGACAGCCAGACAGTTGTTGTTATGTGAGATGAGGAGGTCACAGTTTTTCCACATGCAGATAGAATTGGTGTCAAATTGTACTCAACTAAAATAAATCAAAACAAAAAAGAAAATATTATATAAGATCATTCAAAAAGGTTTTACCTTTGTGCATCTGGTTTTCTTGTTTTCGACATTTTGCTCTTCTGTTCTGGAACCAGACCTATAATTGAAAAAGCAAATGATCTATAAGAAAAGAAAAAAACACTGAAAACAAATAGTGCTAAATCCAGTTTTTAACAAAAATATAATTGATGTCATTTCTATTTTTATATCAGATGTTATTTTAATTTTAGTTGTAATTCAAGGGCAGGCCACTTATTTGTAACCAATAAAAAGAAAAATCACGGGTAGGTTACACATGATGAAACAAACGAAATCTTATTTGGTTATTTGTACAAAAAATAACTATACATTTTTGCAATAAAAAAATGTATTTATAGGATAAAGATTTATTTATAGGATATAAAGAAAGAAAGTTGAGAGAAAACCACAAGCTCGGTATAAACGTGATATTCAGCTGCACAGTAAATTATTAAAGGAACATTGTGGTGTAATAAAAAAAAAAAAAAAAACTGTTATAAAACCAGCATTGAGGAAGCTGCCACCACTTCACAGACCGCGTCGGAATATTACAAGAATATGATGATATATATAAAAACACATCCCTTCCTTAACCACCTTCCAATTTGCAGACTGTCTTTGAAGCTGCAGGCTACGGCCTATTGTTAATCATCATCAACCTAATTTGCCTCGGTGAATAACATTATCTCCCCTCCCCTTCGACCCCGCAATGATTATCATTTACAGATGCGAAATTAGCGGCTGGTCGCGGACCACAAAGGGCGCAGACTGATGAGGATGATGACTCAAGGTGCCGTGGAGCCATTTTGAGCTGCGTGGATCCGCGCTCAACATCGTGTCGATGGGACTGCAATAACAGGCCAGTCGATAAACTGTCCATTAGCGACTGAGACAAGCGGTGGCCTGAAAATGTGACCTGAAAATAAAAATCTATTGTTCTGTCTTTGAAAAACTGAGCCTACGAATATAATTTTAAACAAACGTGTCAATGTAGAAACGTTATTATTTCAATTATATAATCTGGGATATTTTTTTACATGTACCAATTCAATTCAATGTATTATTATTATTATTATTATTATTATTATTATTATTAGTGTTGTTATTATTATTATTATTGTTATTATTATTAATAATAAATTGTCATGAATGTATAGGCGGTGAGTTCTCAACTCTACAGCGGTAAATGATGGTAGAAAAGGTGTTTGTGAGAATCCCAGGTGATTTTGCATAGACGCACAGTAATCCCTCAGATAAATCAAGGCTAATATTAGACGGGCCCGAGATCAATTCCAATTACGTGCCAGTATGTTAAGCAAAGTGAACTACACTGGTTCAGACAGTTATTTCTTCATTAAGGGCCACTCAATGATGCGCTTCACAAATACCCTAATCTCATTTCCTTTTTGATTTTTTAATAGAGACAGTGAATAATGACATTTAATTTAGCAGCGCGCCAGAAACCCAAAGATATTAGTCCTAACTGAATTACTGCCTGCTCCTCACCAAGCTCTCATAACTTTCAATTAGATTCATTGACAGCTGCTCGGAGCGTGCTGGTCCACAGCCTGCAACAGCCCTGCTGCAATCCCCTCTCTCTCTCTCTCTGAACCTGGAGAAAACCTGTCCCCGTGCCTGAAAGGGGGCCTGAAAAAATACTTCTTTTTTTAAAATGCTTTATTTTTCAGGGAGAGTCAATCAACGGGCTCTGCCATTTTATTTCCCATCAACCACAGCCAGGCTGTTATCAACTATATTTACACCATTAACTATTTGAATGCGCTATAATCTGTATTAGTGAGAGTTGCAGTGTTATCCCGCACTGTCAACTAAGTCCGACAATGTCCAGCTCCAAATGGTAGTCGGTGGGCTTATAAAGCTCTATGATGGCTCTTATTCATCCGATTAGATAGCTGAACAGCAGCAGAGTTGGGCCAGAATTGAGTTATTTCTAATCTGTTTTTATGGGGACACTGCATCAAGCCAATGGCAGATATTACAAAGAAAATGAGGAGGGATACGAGTTGACATAAGAGCGCGTCCCCTGAAGCAGCCATTCAGGCTCTTCATTCATTTTAATCATTGTTGGGAGTTTTTTTTTGTTGTTGTCCCCCAAGGCTGCTGGGATCGTAGGAGTAAAGGCTGCTGGCTCTACAGGCCTACTGCTGCAAGTTCAGGAGGTTGTTTCATCCCGGGTGATTTACAGCAGTTTACACTTGTTTGATATCACTGACTGGTGCTAACCCACCGTCTGTAAAACTATAGGCTACACATCTAATGTATCCTTATTTTAACTGTTACAGCACAGAAGGAACGGGCACTTTGGTGAAATATTCAGTTTAAACAAGAATCCATTTCAAGCTACAAGCCAACGAATCCTAAAAGATCCACAGTGATGGTGCAGACATTTTTCTGTCACAGTGAATTTGAAACTCCAGGAATAATAACCCTACAACAAGGAGTGAAAAATCACAGATTGCGACAAAGTTACAATAAATTCAGGATTGGGCACCACACTTAACAGAGTCCCTTAGGAATATTGTTAGAATATTTTAGACTTGAGGCTGCATTATTTACCTCTCAGGCCTGCACACTAACGAGCTCTTGACATTTTGCTTATTTATTTATTTTTCTTGCACATTGCAGAAATACACAATGTAGGCTATTTCTATCACAAAGGAACATCTTGCTTTATAGTAATTTTCACATGCTGGAAAACATGATCAGCATGATCAAACGCTGCACATTGGATTATTAATGAAGAAAATAAAAAAGGGAGAAATAAATGCACCGTTGTGTAAACAGTATAACAATATTTTCTCACACTGTCGATTGTTTTAAAAGCACATTTTTAAATAAATCCATAAAATCTTTTTCACGTGGCTTTTGTCTCTTAGTTGTAGCAGAGCTTGGTTGTGGCATAAATCAAGGCCTGATTAGATCATTAACTCCCACACAGATTCACCCACCCCTCCTGTACGAGAACTGCAACAGTCCTGTAAAGATCCTAATATCGCTTTAAAACACCAGGCACACTACCGGTCCCTGCAGGAATATGAGGAAAACATCTATTCTTGTTTGCAGCTCGCACAGCAGCCCTGGCCGGTGTGATAGTCGCTCTGGATCAGTGAAGTGTGAGGAAGAGAGAGGGGAGATCCTCACCTGCACTCTGGCCTCGGACAGTCCCAGCCGCTGGCTCAGCTCCTCTCTCATGAAGGCGTCCGGGTAGTGCGTCTCGTCGAAGAGCCGCTCCAGCTCGTTGAGCTGCTCCAAGGTGAAGTTAGTGCGACTCCTCCGCTGCTTCAGTTTGCCCTGTGCATCCTCGTCCTCCGACTTCACGTCCTCCTTTTTCTCCTTACACTCGTATATCCCTGTTAAACGACCCACGGTTGGGGGGAAAGGAGAGGATGCGTTCAAAATCTCGACTTTCCTGGAGGAGCCACATAAACACACACACTATCCGCCTCTCTATCTCTCTCTCTCTCTCTTCATCACACGCTCACATTACTGGCCCCCCATAGCCTACACAGGGCCCTGCCAGGGGCCTAAGGCCTGGCAATTTGGCAGCAACACACACATTAAACCGCCTATATCTTCAAGAGAGAGAGGGAGCGAGAGAGAGGGCCTGTGGCTGCATTTCCAGCCTCCATAAGTCAGTGTGTAATGTCAGTGCCGTTATAAAAGCGAATCCGTCAATACATGGCATGTAAGCCTAATAAGGGTATAAGCGATTTAAAGGGCAGAGAATTAAGCCACGGCTAAACGGAGAAGATTTAGGCCTAATTACTCGCCTCCGTAAAACAGACTGAGGTTATTTCAGGCTATAAATAAAAAATGCTTCTGTCAACCAAAAAACCTTAACATGTATTTTTCAATTGAAACCTTAAAATGTCTGTATATCACACAGTATAACACACTGCAAGGCTGTCAGTGCAGGCGGTTCTATGTGTCTTTTTATTGTACTATTAGGTATAATCAGTTGTTATTAGTAGCAGACGCAGTTACTGGCCCTCTTTGGTCCCATTTTGGTGTTTGTAGTTCGCTGACGGGAAAATGTGATTTTCCGCAGCTAAAGGTTATTTGATAGGCTATTATATACAATGTTATGTAAAATGCTTATCAGATTAATCCAATACACACAGGATCACATGACACACAGTCTTCCCCTTTTAGCTTCCATTAATTAAAAGGGAAAAAAGTAGAGGCAGAATAATACAGCACACTTTTTTTTTATTCTTGCAGGATAAATATAGAAACAAGTTAAAATTACCCACTAAATGTCTAAAACTCTGCCCACTGCACAGCATCTGACTGCTGGGTGAAAAGAGGCCTGCTCTGCTGCTCCTCTGTACTTTTGAACCAATTTATAAATGACAGGCTCCTCTGAGGAAGATCCATTTTTAAAGAGCGTGTTTACTGGCACATTTCTCAATTTACAGGAATTTAATATCAGACATGGTGTGACTTTCGTCTTAAGGAGTATGACTACCCTATAGATTATTAAGGGAGCACTACATCACAATAGTATTGCAGTTTAACTTTTAAATAATGCCAAACATAATATAAAATGTCCTTCAGATTTCATTTAATACTGTAACAGATAAAAGAAAATAAAGTGGGGTAGTAAGGATTGCCATACACTTTATAATGCATCCTCTTGGATTATTAGAGTTGTAAATATTTTCGTGCTGGCAAAAAAATGTCAAATTGCCCTTAAATTGGGATAAACTCAGTATTAAACACCGCAAATAAAATGAAAATCTATTATAAAAAATTATAAGGAGAATGATTTTTTCGTTCGGCCGAAGACTGACTGACTGAAAACAATCATCAAATAGTTAAAACGACGGTCAGACGAAGGGCCCGCCTCCTGCTATGTAAAATAATCATTGTAACGACAGAATAACGTGTTAACTTTCTAAATCTACTGGAACTAAACGCGCACCGTCGCGCAAACACAACTCCTTATATTTTACAGATGGGTTTGTAAGCATTTAGGAAGAACTGAAACGTCGCTCCCCGATACAACACAACTGAACTTGAGACATTTTCCCCGACACAATACGGAGCATTTTCTTCCAATTAAAATAAAGACAATTTTAAAAACCCTTACCCTCTGTCGACCTCGAAACATTAAAGTCCTTCAGTTTTTCCTTTTCCAGCTCGACATGGTCCTTGAACAGATGCACCGGGCAGTGGTTGCCCTCCGTTATGTCCTGCAGGTTTGTCTCCGGGCTGCCCAGCTCCCTCGCCCTTGACAAGCCGCTCTCCAAAACTTCCCTGTACGTGATACTCTCTTTGCTGCTCTCCTTGGTTTTCTGATCGAAAGATTTCGACACGAATGCCGTAAGTTCTTCCATGGTCGGCTCTGTCGCTCAGTAGTGGTCCTGGTCAGGGAAATCCACCGTGAATTCTCAGCATATATGTACCTTACCGTCTTCTATATAGTGCCAGCACTGTTCACGGATACGCTCTTTTTTGGAGGCTGGCAGCAGCGATAGATAGAAGGGGTGGAGAGGAGGTGAGATCACTCCTGCTGTTGTGACTGTGTATTTGAGAGCACACTATTTATACACGGCCACCTCAGCCCAGCCCCCCCCCCCCCCCCCCCC